CCTTGACTTGAGAATTGATAGGAGAAAGAAACACTAATTTGTATTAATCTAGAGCCATGTAAATCATTCCTCCAAAGTCAGTTCTTAGAAAACTCTCTGTCCTGCATTAGTTTCTTCCCCACTTCATAGGATCGCAGACTGGTCTGGTTTAGAAGGGACCTTAAAGCTCATCCAGCTCCAACCCCCTGCCATGGGCAGAGACACCTTCCACTAGAGCAGGTTGCTCCAAGCCCTGTCCAACCTGGCCTTGAACACTGCCAGGGATGGGGCATTCCACATTTTCCTGTGTTACCTTAGTGACAGAGAAACCAGAGCCCATGGATGCTGGAGAGACTCTCCACAGGTACTGCAACAAGCACATTTCTTCCCCAGTGTTTGTATCACGGGCAGAGCAGGCAGTGCATCAGTCACATGGAGGATCCCTGCAGCAGCAGAAACAAATGAGGGGTTAGTTTTTGCAGTGATTTAGCATATTTATTAGGATGATGCACATCACAGCCCAGAGAGGCTATCAAAACCTTGAAACCGGTAAGATTTTTTTCTATCCTTTTTTGGTTTACTCTTTTATTTTTCCTTTTCTATCACCACAAGAACAAATGACATCCCATCCTCAGTGATCAGGTTAAGACAGATAATGGGCTTATGGCTGCTGCCAGTTACACTTCACTCAGATCAATGGGGTTAGATTATGGGTAAAAATAGGATATGAATTTTTCCCTTCAACCTTTAATATAACATTTAATCTTTATGATTGTACCCAAGTTTCTACAGCCATTAGGCTGGCTGTAGAAACCAACTTTACAATTGGAAAGGAGTTCAACCAAGATTCTGCTCAATATTCCTAAGGAGAAAATATTTACACTTAGATGTCCAAAAAATCCCTGTCTTTCAGTCTGACTTTGCAGACATGTCCAGCTCCTTCAATTTTCCTCTCTTTTACTCATATGGCTTTTCCAGCTTTATTAGTACTGATAACCTCTCCTTCCATACTTTACCAGTCTTTTTAGCTCTTTTCTCCCACTGCCCAGATCTGTGTATGAGAGATAAAGCAAGAGAAAGTTACTTTTGTTCCTGCATAGCCACATCTATACCTGTGGGCACCAGGGGAACTGCAGTATAGTGCTTGCTAAAGTCCTTACTACTATGGTCAGTCAAGAAAATAAACACCAATATGTAACTCCAGCTATACCTGAGTAATTCAAGCCCTGATGTTGTAATGAGCTGTGCTTCCAAATGTACCTCTGATAATTTGTTATATCCCAAGTATAACCCCTGTA